TGGGGAGGAAGAGCGGAATGCACTGGTTGGAGTCAAAGAGGGATGTTAGGAAGCTGGCTGCTGAGAAGGAGCAAGTGTTGAGATCTACTGTAGGTCATCTCAAGAGTCTACGAATATTAGGAGCTAGTATACATCTTCCTGCATATGCAGTTGCATGGGGATGCACATTACGATTTGTTTCGTATCCAGGTTAATGAAGGTCTGCGTGTATACAGAGCGTTACGGCCGGATGCCCTACCTTTCTACCAGGAAGATGCTATGCTCAGTATGGGTTGCGGCGAACATGGACTTGGTACTGGTCATCAGGTATGAAGGCGAAGATGAACAGATTGAACATGATGGAGAGCGGTAGAGGTGTCGCTCCTAATCAGACGGGAGCTGTGCTACCTCGGGATAAGCTACAGGTGCACATAGGAACAATGATTGTGAGAGTATGGTCCATCTGGGTTGTTGATGTCAGTTGAAAAATGAAGTGGTCGACCCGTTCCAGTTCCAGTTGCCAGTAGTCAACCCAAAGGCCTTCCTGATAGCACTGGAAGCTGCATGCAGGAGCCTCTGTGATGACCTAGAGTACGTGTGGTGGCATCTGTCGGAAAGGCAGTGCTAGTGTGGAGGTCAATTATGTGTTTTGGTGACAGTATGGGGACTCTGAGCAAATCCTTAGGATTATTGTTGGTGTTAGTTTACCTCTGCCCTAAGTCGTGTGTGAATGTCTATAATAGTGAGGAAATTGTCGAGCTCGGCTGAGGAAACCAAACATATATTGTCTACTACCATGCCAGGTACATAGCATCGTGTTTGGGCATAGACGCTGAGGAGCTACCAGCTCGGGACGACCCATTGAGGTTGGTGGATCTGAGGACCATTGGTGGAGTTCCTCGTCGTAGATTCCAACGTTTAGTGGAAAGGGTCATGTTTGCATTCCCTTTACGGAAGGACCCCGCTTATGTGGATGAGTTTATGCTCAACCATTGGCCTAGGTTGAAGCAGTTGATGCCCCCTGTCATCGCTGAGTATGGTAGTTGGTAGTAGTTGACAAGCAGTTGTTTATATCAGATTGCCGGACAGTGATGTCGCGGAGTGGCTGAGGGGGCACCTTCAACGTGTGATCCACAACCAGAAAGAGCATAAGAAAATATGGCTGCACAAGGCACCTAAGAAGGGTAGTAATAGAAGATGGTTTGCATGCTGCATGTGGCGGTGTAGGTACGGAGGAATGGTATAGTTTCGGTGAGGATTTTATATATGATACGTGAGCCTCTGCTAAATCTAGTATTATAGTCGCTTTCTGATTGAGTTGAGGTAGGTACCCTTTACCAGCCACACTAGTGGATGATAGGAATCTCGAATTTCCAATCCAAGACTCTGGCAAATGGTTCGAGAGCTTTGCAAAGTTTTTCGAATTCGATCCTGAGGAGTAATGAATGCCGTAGGATGCATTAGCACATGAGCATGTCTCGGCTGCTGCAGGAACGGCCTTTTGGA